ACTACAAAACCAAAACACATTATAACACTTTCTTCACTCAACAAATACCTAGAACCCCATTGAGAGTAAAAAAAGGTTTCTGGAAAGAATTAATTTGACAGGAAACTTACAGCATCCTAATTCTCACTGAAGAATTAGTAAAAATAAGTAGAGGAAAAAAATATAATCAAAATGAAGGTGATCTCCATCAAAAGGAAATTAATCTTACCAACAAAAGCAATATTGTTTACATTACACATTTTCACTCAATGACAGCATTCACAAGAGGGTCCACACAAATAATTGCTGAAAATTTTTAAAAAATCAGGTGAAAAAAAAACACAGGCAAAATATGGGAGGCAGAAATAAAGGAAAAGGAGAAAAAGTTGCTATAACCGATGTTCAATAATAACTCAAATCAGTCAATGTTATTTCCAGAAATATATAATCTGAAGACATCTGATGCCCTAATAGGAAATGAATAGGTTCTTAAATAATTAGAAAAATTAGCACTTCCACTTTAATCCAAGGATTGAAAAATATGCTTTAAAAATTTCAGATATTTGGCTTAATGACAGTGTATCTGTTTGTTGCTGTTAAGGATTGCTCCCCTTTGAAATTTCAGTTTATAACTGCTTTTCAAAATTCAATACTATTTTGCCTACAACATCATTCACTAATTCCTTCTGAAAGCAGTAATGCCACACCTACTATTTTTAAGTGAAACACTTTATTCTTCTAATTACACTGGTTTTTTGCCTTGACATTTTTTCCAAACTGGTTTTGAGCATATATACAAGCCAATTTTGATTATTTTGATTTCCAACTCTACTCCATAATTGTTTTAAATACTCAAGAGAAGAGACTTAGCAACCATAACTAAAAAAATTTTTGTTTTTTAACAGATAGCTGACATATACACCTATACAAATAGGAAGGCTTATCGTAATAGCAATACATCATCTGGCCATCACCCAAAGCAATTAAAGTTTAAAACGGGACAACTCTTTGGCATAAACAGAGTTTAATAATAAAGAAGCCAACCTCCCAAATAAACTTCTTAGGGAAAAAAATAAACTCATACTCCCTTGTACTTATACTATATTTAAAATTAGGTTTTCCTAGCAAGTAAAAGCAATCATTTTTTAAAACAGTGTAATTTCCCTCTTCTGAAAAAAGAAAAACATGCTACCAAAATCTAGGAGAACAAAATGGTGCTGAAATTTTTTTAAATAACTTTATGATTAAAAAATAACATAAAAAGAAATCTGTAATAGAACCCACTAGATTCTATTAAATTTGGAGAAGTTGACATTTACACCACATAATCTTTTCTAATGAAGGCAACAAAACAAGATTAAAAGCAATTTTGAAAAAAGTTCTTTTAGAAAACTGTTAAGAGATTAAAAAGTCCCACTTATCTTCTTTCTCTGCATCACAAAAGTAACTGAGTCAATTATGCTATCTTTATAATTTGTATACTCTCAACTTTTAGAGAAATGTGTATTTCAATCTTTAAAATATCAGGGATATTGTCATATTTTACTCAAGAATGAGTATTTGCAGATTTTCCTACTATCTTTGAGGTAACATAAAATTTATAAAATCTCAGAATGTGTTAAAGAAGTTTTATCCAATACATATTCCAGTGGGATGAAAACCATTTACAAGTTCCATTTAGATTAAGAAATCCTTTGAGAAAAGTATGTGGTACATTCTAGTTATACTGTTTCTAGAACAGCAAAAATCTCTATAACCTATTTCCCTACTGTTTTCTTCGGAACCAACTGAACTGAATGTAATTCCCTCACAAAAAGTCAAGACAGTACTATAGTTACTGACAGAGACCTAACTCAATTTCAGGAGAGGCTGAAGTTTTCACAAATTCAAACTATTTTACTTAACCAATAACACTGAGTTTAAATATATTGAATCAAGCATTATTTGCAGTCACATAAAAAATGTATTAAAATGAAGAGCATAGCTTCATTTTAAAACCAGGAGTAAGGAGGAGAAAGGCAAAATTTCTAAAACCAAACTGCTTAAACTGAGGAGGTATTTTTTCATTCTCTTAAAGCACATAAAAACTTAAACAAACAAACAAACACTCCCCTTAAGCTAGGAGTTTATCCTTAGGCAACGCCTTCTTTCTTTTACAAAGTAAAGAGTTGCCAGTTATCATTAGTACTTCCATTTAGACTGAAGTTGAAGGGCATTACAAAACACTTTTATTTTCCTGTATTTTGCCATTTGATTATAATTGTTTCAAACTAACAGAATTAAGGATTGGTCTACACGACTTTCTGAAAACAAATTTTATAATAAGCCAACTTTAAGTGATTCATGTTCAAAACCTTATAGAATAATCTATTCATCTGAAGAAGTCAACTACTGAACCTGGCAGGAAGTATTCCAAATTATCAAAAGAAACTCTGAAAGTATGAAGCTGGAATGTTCATAATGTTATATCTAAAAGCTTAAATCATACAAAAATATTTAGAAATCTCAGTTCCCTTTTTCCTATTAAAATGCTAAACAATTTTAGGTATCTTCTTTAATCATACCAAAAATCCCAACGCAAATTCATTTTGACTGCAGAGGACTGAAACTAAGAATTCGATGACTGCAGGCAAAAAAGTACAGAGGGAGAAAATTACTTGAGAAAATACTTAGTGAGACAAAATACCTTTCTAAAAGAAAAGATGTATTAAAACCATTTACTCCTTTATGCCAGACAAACAGTCCTCTCCTAGAACACATTGCTTACAATTCAGCCAAGTATGACTGCCAAGTGTTTCTAAACCTGTTAGGATTGTTCAAAGTGGAAAAGCTTCTCCACCAGTGTATTATTGAAAAAAAAAAAAAAGGAAAAATTTTAACTTACAGTTTAAGATCAATTGTATTACACACACTCCTACTGATAAACTAAGTGTAAGCAATATCTTTTTGAAAACCTCAAGTTGTAACTTAGAACAACATTTGCTGTGTAAGTTGCTTCACTCTAATAAGGGTAGAGATTTATTTATTTTCACCAAATGGGGCTTAAGTGGCTGAAAAGAAAAAAGTAGTTTTATAAATAGCTTTTCTAACCTTAGTTTACATTTGGTAAAACAGACCATTTATCTCAATCAAGCGAACACAGCACCAAATGTAAGACTCCAAGTTTTATAGGTAAAATTTGTAAAAATTACAGCAATCCAGTAATGTGCAAAAGTGACTAAAAAGGAACTGTATGTATTCTTATTTATACTTAAGGTATTATTACTTTTGCAAATAAGAGATAGATTGCTGCATGAGATTGTTACCATGACTTTAAACATTTTTATATATATCTTAAGAACACAATGTCTTATTTATGTTTAAACTTGAGATGTATCTGAACTATGTAATCCTGTTTGCTTTTCTGGTAATTCTTTATCTCACAGTGGTCTGATTATAGCAAGGGCTCCTTCTTCCCATTCTGCCATTAGTCATTACATTTCAATTTTGCTTTCACCAAAGCATGGACATTATAGGCCACCTCTTGCTTCCAGTTTTCTGCTTTTTATTGTAAATAACAATGACAATGAATTCCACCAAATGCATATATGTGCAGAGCTTTGTCATTCTTGTCCCAGCCCCCTTCTTTTCTATAGAAAAAATATGAGGAATTTAGGTTCACGTGAAAAAAAAAACAATTTTTCTTTTGCATACATACATGATAGATTTTCAACAGAAGACAATTTATTGAGATAATTATCATCCTAGATATGTCAAAAGAGAGAACTTCCCAAATGTAAATCTGATATTAACTGGAGAGGAAATTTCCACTCAAACCATAAATAAAATGTCATCAATTAAGCTGAACATCAATTTAATTTACTTAGTCAAAAATCAATTCTCAATATAGGAGGGATATGTAACCCGCATACAATTAAAAGATCACTTATATTTGTTTGTGGAGTTCACATATGAATTTCGTGCGTCTGCCAGATTTATCTTATTTTGAAATGCTCAGCCTAATATTTATTGATATAATCAGAGCCCACACTAAGTGTCCTGGGGGGAGGCAATGCAAAGACACGTTATACAGTGAAACCTGTCCAAAAGGAAAATGCGGGGGGGACATCCCAACAGAGATAATAATCGACAAATAGATCACAGAAAGCAAAACGAAAACGTTCCTCTCCTGAATAGCCTGAATAACGTTTAATAGTATCCTACCTCACTTCATTCACTTCCCAACTTCCTTTACTTTTCAAGGGCCAACACGGGGCATCCCTTTTTCTGGAAGTGTATGTTGAAAGGATCTCTGTAGGAAAGAGGGAAGGGACTGACAATTCTCAAGAAGGCTGAGGAACAGGTGGGTTAGAAGGAACAGCAGCATAATCTAAATATTTAAGGGGAAGCTTTAAGATGACAGATGTGGTTAAAAGATAGACTGCAAATCGGAAGAAGCTCTCGTGTGGCAGATACACTGGAGGCTGACTGCAAGCACCAGAGAGGGGCAAAGGCTAACTCCAAAGTGGTAGCAGTGGAGCAAAAAACAAGCAGCAGGACGAGTGGGTAATGAGCAGTGGGATTAATGAGCAGCAGCAGCCAACACGGGTCAGAGTGGAAGTGATGGCTTTGGTCTTGGGAGACGGGGGCCGGTGGGAAAAGACGTCAGACATGGGGAAAGGGGCTGGGGAAACAAGGAGGACCGAGACCTAAGAATCCTACCCCTATAAAAACGTAGGGGAAAAAGCTGGAAACAAGAAGCCGCCTCGGTTCCCCACTTAAAGAAATTCTCCAAGGAAAGTCGGTGCTGCCGCCGCGCTGCCTTCTGCCCCGCTCGCTTTTCCTAATGGTAACTGCTATGCCGTAAAGGGGAGCAGGGGGAAGAGGAGGAGGAGGAGGAAGACCAAGGAGGAGGAGGGTGAAGATGAGGCTGGGGGTGGGGAGAAAGGGGGGTGCGGCCTGCACAGTCCCTGCGAAGCCTCCGCTCTCTCGTAGCCGGTCAGCCCCGGGTTTCCCCTAAGCCCAGCCCCGCATAGACTCACCCGCCTGCCTTGCCTCGCTTTTCCCTTAGCCGACTCCACGCGCTGCCGCGTCTTCACAAGAGACCACTGAACGAGTGTCGGGGAAAAAACTCTTCAGAACCGGGCCTGATTCCTTCAGCGAGTCCGACCTTTACGGCTGAGAGAGAGACTCTCAGCTTTCGGTGGGTTCCACAGCCAGACGGGCCACCATCTTACATTAGGGTAAGACTCCGCCGGCCTCCCGTGCGCAGGCGCACGCCGATCCGGCCGGGAGGGGCGGGGGAGGGGCGGGAGGAGCCACGGGCGGCTGAGTGGGAGGTTGCGGCAGCCGCTCCCACAGCACCCTGGGAGTTGTAGTCTTCGGAGGGTAACCGCCCAGAGGCAAGCCGGGAGTTGAAGTCCTCACTCCGAAGGCGGACGGGATCGCCCACCTCACGTGGCTGCTGGACTGCTGCCTTTCTTCGTGTTTTGCTTCCTTCTCCGTCCGCGTGTGGTGCTCCAATGTCATATGGTCGGCGGTTTTCGCTAGTGGTTCTGTTTTCTCGAAGTTTGCTGAAATGCGGGATCCCAAAACTCGAGACAAGCTTAATCCATTTTGGGGGGAGCCGAGAACGTCCCTCCTGTGCCACGCCCACCAGAGATATCTAAGGAGGCGGAGTGGAGGTGGAGGCAGGTTGGGGTGCGAAGAGCGCGGGATTTGATCTAGGGTGGGACTTAGTACAGACTTGTTTTGGGAAAAGCGAACGTTGACTGGTTTCCCTGTCTCTCCGCAGTTTAGAGCCGCCACCCTTAATCCCATCTTCCCCAAAAATCTCCAGTGAGGGAATATCCTAAATTGTCATGTGCAGATTGCTCAAGAGAATGGAACGCCCATGCACTTACTACAATAACGTGTTTCTGTTGGTGTGAGTTTGAGAACAAGCGGACTTCCGTGCAAAATATTGTTAGTTCGGTCCTGCCTGCACGGCTGTTTTGTACGTCAGCTTCACAAACTGCACTCGTCGCCCAAGAATAGAAGCATGCAATCGCAGTCTCTACAAACACTGAGGGAGCCTCAGTCACAAAACTTAGTAAATTTGCTGGTCCCTCCGGTGTGCCTCCTAGAACTCTGGTACAAGTGGCGCTCGAAGAGGTCATTTTTGCTTATTGCGTGTATTCTTCACCCATTCTTACAAGTACTCGTTGAGCTCCTGTGTGCCTGGCACTGTTCCATACATTGGGAATATGGGAATACAATGGTAAGAAAAACAGACAAAATTCCCTGTTCCTATTGTAATGGGTGTGTTGGAGTGAGGGAGAGGGGAGAAGAAGCTATCAACTTTAAAAATAAGTGGTTAAAATGCATCGTATGCCATAACTGATAAAAAAATTTAAAACAGGGAAGGGGAGTAGGGAGATTGCAATTTTAAATCTACGAACTTAATCTCATAGTGAGAAGCCCTTTCTTCTTTTTTTTTTTCTTTTTTTTTTCTTTTTTTTTTTGGCCATTAGTACCTGAGCTATGTTCTTTCTTTTATTTATGTATTTTTTATTTTCAGAGACAGGATCTTGCTCTGTTGTCCAGGCTGGAGTGCAGTGGCAGGATTATAGCTGAAAACACAAAAAGAACAAAATAAAAAGATTTCTTTTCATTATTAAAGACTAGAACCATTGCAGTAAAAACTTGAAGGAATTTTAGGCATCACCTAATCCAGTGGCAAACTTATCTTACCCAACACTCCTTTTTTTAATAAATATTTTCATAATGTCCCCTTTATTAGCCTAAAATGAAATTCATAAATGATATAACTACTTACGTACTGATTTTGTTTTAAATGAAAATAATGCCCTATTTATAATATAAAAAGTACAAAGACGGTAATTTATAAAAAAATTAGTTGTATTTCAACATACAAATTCTCAGGCATGACTATTTTAGAAAATATAATCAAGTCATCATTTGCTAGCACTTATAACTAAAATCTCCAACACTAGGGGGCAATGCCACACCTATATTGAGAAGCATTCATTGATGGAGACTAACAGGAAGTGACAGTTCCTAGGTCATCAACTAATTAGTGACAGAGTCACTACCCTCTCAGGCCAGTGTTCCTTTTTGCTACACTATTACCAGTTTCTCATATATTTATGTGTCTGTGTATAATTTCATATAGACTTATGCATGTAAAACTTAATTCTCATAAAATTTTAAGTTGATTCACATTAAATTCTCTTACCTAGCTTGCCTAATGATTTCTCAGTGTGGGACATACATACCATCTTTTACTTTTAGGCATTGTGCTCAGCGCTGATGATGCAGCATAACAGTGGTCAATAAACATGGTGTCCTCACAGAGCATCATACCTAGTGGAGAAGGCAGAGATTAAATAATCATACGTATGAATAAATACAAGTATATAAATATAACTTCTTATGTATGATTACAACTGGTTATGTGTACTAGGAAGGTGTACAAGATGTTATGAGCAAATGTAGGCGGGGAACCTAATTTAGATTGGTGGGGGAGAGAAGGGTAGTCAGAGATCTTTACTAGGTTAAGAGTGTAAAATATGCAAGAACAGGAGGTGATAAGAAACCTCACCAGGCCTGGCGTGGTGGCTCACGCCTATAATCCTAGCACTCTGGGAGGCCGAGGTGGGCGGATTGCTCAAGGTCAGGAGTTCAAAACTAGCCTGAGCAAGTGCAAGACCCCATCTACTATAAATAGAAAGAAATTAATTGGCCAACTAATATATATAGAAAAAATTAGCTGGGCATAGTGGCGCATGCCTGTAGTCCCAGCTACTTGGGAGGCTGAGGCAGAAGGATTGCTTGAGCCCAGGAGTTTGAGGTTGCTGTGAGCTAGGCTGACCACTTGGCACTCACTCTAGCCTAGGCAACAAAGCGAGACTCTGTCTCAAAAAAAAAAAAAAAAAAAGACCACGCTACTCAATGTCCATCAATGGAAAAGTTATTAATAATTCAATTTCAGTACTTTCATTCTCTGGACGATTACATGGCTATATAAAAAAGAGAGAGAGAGAAAGACTACATGTTGACCTGGAGGAATGCCCATGATATATAACAGGTAAAGAATAAATAAGTAAATTATAACTTATTGTGTATAATGCAATCCACCTTTTAGAAACTAAAAGCTAATCCAAAAATATATGAAAAAAATAATAATACATGTGATGCTGCTTTTAAACAAACAAAAATATATGAAAACATTTCTGTAGAATCACAGGAAAAAAAGATAGAAGACATACACATGAAATATTTAGTGTTTGTTGGTTACCTGGGGGGATTGCAATTGAAAAGGGGTAGAGGGAGAACGTAACATTTTCTTTATAAATTGCTGTATTATTTATTGTTTTGTGTATGAATTAGTTTTATACTTTTTAAAAAATAGATAACTTTGCTGTGTGGGGAGTGGATTGGAGAAAGGCAAGAATGAAAATGGAACAACTAATTAAGAGAATATTTCAGTCATCCAGATGGTGGCTCTGATTGTGGTGGCAGTGAAGATAGAAAAGAGGTGATTTATGCTCGTCTACTTGCTGCAAAAAAAAAAAAAAAAAGAAAAAGAAAAGAGGTGATGAATTCAAGATGTATTTTTTTTGAAATTGAAATAATAGAACTTAGTGATGAACTGGGTATGAAAGAGTTCTCATAAATGACTCTCATATTTTCTGGCTTAAATGGCCTTGTAGATGGTGGCTCCTTTGGTAAAAGGAGAATGGTGAATATCAAAATACCATCTGTAGAAAGTAGGATGACAACTTTATCAGAAAAACTGCAGTATTTCAGGGAAATAATGATTGCGCATTTGAGAGTGGTGAATTTAAAAATCGTGGTGATTGTATTTTGCCCAACTTATTGATTTTTTTCCCAATGTTCATCTGCTTGGGTTCTGCCATAGAAATGATATACAATTGAGTTTATTTAGGCTGAAGGAAGAAAATGAAAACAAGGGTGTGATAATGGGCAACCAATGTGTTTTGGGTTGTTTCCCATTTTTTCAACTTTTATAAATTTTTTTTTTTTTTGAGACAGAGTCTCGCTTTGTTGCCCAGGCTAGAGTGAGTGCCGTGGCATCAGCCTAGCTCACAGCAACCTCAAACTCCTGGGCTCGAGTGATCCTTCTGCCTCAGCCTCCCGAGTAGCTGGGACTACAGGCATGCGCCACCCATGCCCGGCTAATTTTTTTTATATATATATCAGTTGGCCAATTAATTTCTTTCTATTTATAGTAGAGACGGGGTCTCGCTCTTGCTCAGGCTGGCTTTGAACTCCTGACCTTGAGCAATCCGCCCTCCTCGGCCTCCCAAGAGCTAGGATTACAGGCGTGAGCCACAGCGCCCGGCCTTATAAATTATTAATACATGAATAGTTTAAATAAATAAAACGTTCAAGTTATATTCTTGGCATATAGTCTCAAATGTAGACCTGCTAGACAAAAGGAAATGATCAGTTTTACAACCCTTGTTCTGTCCATATTGCTTTAATACTAATGCCACTTTATTTTCCAAAAAAACCATTAACTTTGAGTTTTACCATTATGATTTATTTGTTTCTAGTTTTAATCATTTAGTGGATATTTGATTGCTAAATACTGGGCATATGGTAGTAAGCAAAGCACTAAACTCTCTCAAACATCTTAGAGTTTTGGCTGGGTGTGGTGGCTCATGCCTGTAATCCTAGCATCTGGGAGGCTGAGGTGGGAAGATCACTTGAGGGCAGGAATTGGAGACCAGCCTGAGCAAGAGTGAGACCCCATCTCTACTGAAAATAGAAAAAATTAGCTGCCTAACTAAAAATAGAAACAAAAAATTAGCCGGGCATGATAGCGAGCACCTGTTGTCCCAGCTACTTGGGAGGCTGAGGTCAGAGGATCCCTTGAGCCCAGGAGTCTGAGGTTGCAGTGAACTATGATGACACCACTGCACTCTACCCAGAACCACAGAGTGAGACTCTGGCTCAAAAAAAAAAAAAGTTTTTAGAGTTTAAAAGGGAAGACAGGCCAGGTATGGTGGCTCATGCCAGTAATCCCAGCATTTTGGGAGGATGGTTTAAACCTAGGATTTCTTAGCTGCAGTGAGCTATGATTGTGCCACTACACTCCGGCCTGGGCAACAAAATGAGACCCTGTCTCTCAAAAAAAAAAAAAAAAACATTAAACAGAAAGAGAGACAACAAATAAAATAACATGCAAATTACTTATATTGTCAAAATATTAGGAAGGAACAAGAACTGAGTGATAGAAAGAAATACCAGGAAGGGATTTACTTTAGATAGGAAAGCCTCTC